ATAATTTTATGATTTTATACCTAAATCTTATATTCGTAACCACGTGTTTATAAAATATAAACAATATTAACGTGTTTATAAAATATATTTAAAAAAAATTATCATCGACAATATAGGATTATTTTATATCCGAACTTTAGAGTACTCTTTCGTTGTCCCAATTTTTACAAGTAAGTTTTTTTTTCTAAGTAAAAACGGCAAGACGTTCCTGTGACGGCTGTAGTCCATGCCTCCAACTATTCTATTCTTTTTCATCTAAATTGAAGATTGCAAAAGAAAGAGTGATAATGTTTCGTGAAGAATTTGCATGTGGATACAATTAAAGAAAATTTGGCATTTGAATTAAAATGTTATAACTATGGAGGTATAATTAAAATAAAAGCTAGCAGTACAAAATGGTTTATTAAACAAGCGTCTCCCAGTCTAGAAATCAGGCAGGTCAGTGAACCTTAGGCTAATGACTGTCTATAAAATACATGATTCTCCAGAATTAGATGGACGTGCTGGTGTTTATTGCCTCTATAGACATAATATTACGACGTCCAACTTTACAGACAGTAAAAGCTTTTACATAGTACAAGCAGTGATCTAATGCCCGAACGATCATATAATAATTTGGGACACATTGCTCTGTCTTGACGTATGTCTTGGGTGATTATTGGGAAAGAGTTCTTTAGAAAACAGGTTGACATAAAGTGTAAGAATATATTCTAAACGAAAATTTACCTTTCCCTCGTAAAGATTAAAGTAATGCAAATGGAAGTGAATCAGTAATAATCTTGCAAATGCTTCAAACGGCAAATACTTGCGTGTACAAATGTAATTTGTTTTCCTGTTCATTTGACTTGTACAAGTAAATAGAATACCTAACGGTTAGATATTTCGCTTCAAGTACTAAACTAGGCATTTGAGAAAGTTGACTTACGGATAGTGTTTAAACTTAAACAAATTCGTGATAACTTTATTTATGGCTGTCTTAATATATTGGTTTCCGGTTCATTTCATTGACTTTTAACATGGATTAATGTATTTAATAAATGCAAAATAATACATAGGAAGGTATAATTGTTTACGAATAAAATATATAATAATTAGCTGACCCCGAAAATGTTGTTTTACCACTTATTGCGAAATATAAAAATCACAATTAAACTACAGGGGTTGATCGTAAAACGATGAAAATTTAAAGTTGTATGTATTTTTCAATGCTAAATTATAATAAAATAAAAATAAAAAAAATTGACAAAAAAATAAAAAAAAGCATATTTTGGGATGGGTCACCTTTATCACTGAGGGGTATGAAAAATAGATATTGGCCGATTCTCAGACCTACCCAATATGCACACAAAATTTCATAAATATCGGTAAAGCTGTTTCGGAGGAGTTTGGTAACAAACACCGTGACACGAGAATTTTATAATATAATAATTCACGATAATTACTGATACTTAGTCTACAAATCTTAATAATTTAGCATAGCATAAAATTACAATAATAGTTAATATTACAAAGTTAGTCAACATTCGGTCAGTGTTTTAAAAATGAAAAATAGTACTAGTTCAGTTTAAAGCTTGCTGAGGCACCAGCGCTGATTTTGAATTGATATTTTTTTACACAATCCGTCAGAGATTTCGGATTTAAAATATTATCATAATGTATCATATGTATTCTTTAAATCAGACAAATGAAGGTTAAAAAGAAACTAAATATTCTTAAATTCTTACCAAATTATAATGTAATTCCGTTTTTGAAATGGTTACATAATATTTTTGTAAAGTGTCAAAAAATTTATAATTTTTTTTATAAGGGCTTTTACCTTCTTCATACATCAGCCCTATTTTTCAAATAAAGTTTTATGTACTGTCCCTAGAAAGAGAGGAATGGGTATCAATAATTCACAGAAATATTAAAAAAATTATGATTTGAGTTTAGCTAATATCTTTATTTAAAAAGAATAGAATGCAATTTAATTAGCACTGAAACAACAGTTTGCTGAGGATTTATTTATCGCTGTCTCATAATAATTACAGCGCAGTCGCCTGTTTTATAAATAAAATTCTTGACGGCTTATGTATTTTTGCTCGTAAAATATTTATAGGAGTAACTGTACTTTATTGATCGTATTACGTATTCCTAAGAAGTGAATAGAGCATTCGACACAAGAGACATGTTTCTTAGGGATATATTGGATTCGTTATCAAATTAATCATCATCATCTTTCTATTCTTTTCCCATATCTAATGACGGTCTTCGTAGTAAGTTTTTTTTTGTTAAATTTTTTTTATTTCCACTCATTTTAGTAATTACATAGTTTTTAGCTGTAGCATTTTTCAGTACAGTTTCTGTTTTTCTCTATTTAGGTTTCTCTTTACACTTATTATCATCAACTTTCTTTCTGGCCATATCTTTCTTATTTTAAATTTGCACTGGCATCGCGTTAAGTTTCGATAGTGTATTTAAAATATATGTCAACAACGCGAAAGTTCAAAATTCACTGCATCTTTCTTACTATCCGTGTATCACAATACTTAACAGTTCATTCTTCGATCATCCGCTTTCATATTCAATATTTTATTTATATAATTCTTCTTTTTTTACTCACTCTTCGTCTTTGTGCATTATTTAATCAGTCATTATTAAATCTTTATCAAAATTGGTTCCAAATTATTGAAGGTATAACACTTTTGCACAAATATTACATGAATTATTAAATGATATTAAATGATATAGTACAGTACAAGAGGCATTATCATAGCTAAACAATCTCAAATGCAGAAAACACCGTTGAATTCAGAACCGTTGAAAGATGACAACTTCTCTGGTCTTGCTGCACTCGCCACGTTGGGTTACAGCATTAAACGTCAGCTGGCAAGTTGAAAGTTGTTCCGCACATAAATTCTGCTCGTATGACTTGCAGGCGTCTAGCTGTATAAATTTGTTTTCGCTGGCAACTGCGCTTTATTGAGTTTTATATTTTTGGAGATTCGTGACCTGTTTACTTGAGTCTTTTGCAAAGAGAAATTACTTTTCTCCCAAGACAAACTATGTTTTATTATCTGGGAAGAGAACAACATATTTTTATGATATTGCTTTCTCAGCAATTGGGGTTTACTTTGTAAAATTTGTTTTTGATATTCTGAAAATGCGTTTAAAAGTGGCTAAAGATTTTATCATTATATAGTATATTGTTTTCTTAATGTGTACTTTTCTAGTAAATTTATTTTTTTGAGTTTACTTCTGAAATTATTTGGAGAGGACAGTAATGAATATTTATCTCTATATTTCCTGTGTAATTTGTGGTCAAGATTCTTAGAATGGTTATTTACTTTAACTAAACTGTCAAGCTTACGAGTACATCTATTTATATCTGTTTCATTAGATTATATTATCTGTAGTGATAGTATCTTTGCCTTTCTTGAAGACATAATGAAAAAAAAGCATGCCAGTAAAATATGATAAATCTATCCTTTATTTAATTAAAGACGACACTAAATAACACTTTCAATTGTAAATAAGATTTAACTTAAATATTATACCTGTAATGCAAGAATTTTAATTTAAAATCATAAAATGATGCCTATATGTGTGTTCAGGTGTAAATAATTAATCGATCGCAAATTGAGTGGAGAAAGTGGCGAAAAAACTGGCAGGTACCCTTTACTTGCGGCCCCACCCACCGAGAACATGTTTTTAACAAGTTCCTATATTTAACTTTTTAATTTCCGTAATCAGAATCGCATGCGACTCCCAGTTATTTAAGTCTGGACAGCAGCTATACTGAAATAAATGCTGTCAGTAGTGTAGCATTGTAATAGAAATGTGATATGTAAATTTTGTTATAATAGGAAATGTCTAGTTTACGAATATACGTGAACATATATTGATGAACGATGAGAAGTCTCGTAGATATTTTAGAATAAAATTAATTGATTTAAAAACTTAGAATCGTATGTCCGCAAATACATTTTGATTTGTAACTGATAGTTTTTTTGCTTTGCAAGGAAAAATAGCTATTTCAATAAAGACAAAATTAGTATAGCCACAAAATATTAGACAAACTGAAAACCTGTTTCTTTTGAAAACTGCTTAAAAGTTTGGGCGAGTTGATGGGTAGGTTCATTTTGGAAGCAACTATCAAAACTGCTTTATAATCACACTAATTACGTGAGTTTCAAGTAAGGAAATCCACCTTGGTTATGAGATTTCAGATAACAACACCAATTGAGAAAAAATCTTTTACTATATTGATCCGGGAATTGAACCCTCTGTACCACGGAGAACATCCAACAAATGATTACATAATAAATTTTTTGCATGTATATAAATGGGTATAAAATACTCCGTTCATTCGCGTTTTTAGTGCACTTTACCTACTGCCTGCAATGTTCGAGTTACTGTCTGGCCAGCAACCGTTGGCAGACGGTCATTGTTCCAAACTTTTTGGTATTCGCGACAGACAGGTGGCGCACGTGACACCTGCTTCCGCTGATGCGTATGCGCATACACTCCACAATAACTGTGATTGCACTCCACTCGCGTGTGTACACACTTTTAAAGGGTATGTTACACTGTCAACATATAGGGTCTTAATTGTAGGTATATTATATACAAGGTACAAAGGAAAAGTGTGATCAGATTTAAACATTTTACTATTTATTCTTACAATTTATAATACTTGATTTTAATATCTGATTATCGAATATTTTTAGATTTTAACTTGATATCAATATTTTTCGTTTCGTAGAATATAGAATTATAAAATATTTTTTATTTATAACACCAACTATTCATTTTGTTCATATTAATTTTATATCAGATGTGAAATATTTTTTCCTTATTTTTTAATTACTTTCTTAAATCTATAGGAGATAAAATATTTTCATCTGCCGTTAATTTGCGACGTTATTTTGAAAAACGATTCACACTTTAGGAACGAACTGTTTGTGGAAATATAAACCATTATTATTATAAATAGTAATAATTATATATTTAATTTACAGATAAGCAGTTCTAAACGAATCCGACATTGGAATTTTAAATTGTGATCGCCAACAGGGCGTTAAAGTAGTGTTTAATCGAAGATAAGTGCTTCTATACCAAATATTTATACCTGTAACCAATAAACATAAGGCAGCCTTATAATTAGAACGAAATTACCTTAAAGGACCAAAATTAGAAATTTTGTAACCAATTTTGATAGTGTACGAACGCCTTAATTTTTTACCGACACGTAGTGTAAATAGTGCTTAATGAAAACAGAAAAAAAGTATAATTAAAAAGTTTTTACTACGCGTTTTGTATTTCAATTATATAATGACATATTTGAGTGATATTTGTGCTGGTGTGTTATTGGTGGGCATCGGTTTAAAATTAAACAGTGATTAAATTTGTGGGGAGACGTCATGGAGCGGTGTGATGGTTTTTTGGTGTACCGCAAGCCCGTCTACAGGGTGTTCCAGTATTTGGAAACGTAAGTATTGTAATTGTGTAAAAGTTAGTTTATTTATTCGTTACTTTGTTGTTTCTTCAAGATTTTACTGCTCAACAAGCGTGCAACAACATGAAAGACGTACACGTAATATTAAGTATTGTTTATCTTGATTTTGCCGACTAAGCCGCTATCACAACTAGTCTAATATTATTCTAAAGGTAGACTTTACATTTGGCAAGCGGTAGGCAAAGACAGGATTTGATGGCGTTTTAAAAGGGATGCTGCTGCTTATCCTTCAACCATTAAGTTCCTTTATTCACCTTTTACGACACCCATGGACAAGGAATAGTTGGTCCATTCTAAGCTTACTACACTACACCTGCACGGCAACACTATTTATATTAGGCAATAATTATTATTTCCCTTCAGATAAGCCGTCTGTAGAAAAATTCCGAGTATATAGACATGTCTGTCACATCGGCTCAGGAGCGCTGAAACTTTTATGAGCTACTCACGCGCGTCGCTTCAATATTTAAGTACCTACGCCGTCCGTTCTGTATTGAAACTCGTTCGTTTAGACTTTAAAGTTTAAATGAAATCTATTTTTGATCTTTATATCATAGATTACTAGACTAGTTCACTTAATTGCTACAATCTTAAAATGTCTTTTTGACAAAACGCCAATTATTCTTATTAGTATTATAAATGTGCAAATGAGTTTGTTTGTTAAATCTTGGCGCCTTTACCGGTCAACCAATCGCCATGAAAGATATTTATGTAGTATTTGCGATAAAGGAGTATAAAGGCTAGTTTTTTTTTCTCGGTCAATATAGGCATAGATGGTTAATATGGATACCAATCCAATATCTATATTTAGGTTCTTCTGGATATTGATGGCGGAAAAAAGGTCATCGATATCGCCCATATCGGTCGGATATCTATTTTCGAGTATGTTAAACGTTTGTTATAGAATATTATTTTTTGGATAACAAAATTGTCCGACTTGACCCACTGAAACTGCGCAGAGATGTTGCATCTCTGTACATCTTCTACCGAATTTATCATGGGGAGTGTTCTGAGGAATTGTTCGGATTGACCTGCTGCTGATTTTCACCACCGCACAACCCGCCACAAACTAAAGTTTCATCCCAATCATCTGGACGAGTGGCGGTCTTCCACCGTGCGTTTTTCAAGGCACTTTCTTCCACGCACAACCATTCTTTGGAATCAACTTCCAGCAGCGGTATTTCCGAACCGATACGACAACATAACCTTCAAGAAAAGAGTATATTCCTTTTTAAAAGGCCGGCAGCACACCTGCAATGCCGCTGGTGTTGTGGGTGATCATGGGTGGCGGTAGTCACTTACCATCAGGTGAGCCGCATGCTCGTTTGCCCCCTGTGTTGTAAAAAAAAAAAAAATTAACATATTCGTTATTAGTCAAGTATATCGATATTGTAACTAAAATATACATATATTGCTATACATTACCCCCTTGTAGGTCAATAAATATATTTTGGCCACGCAGACGAAGTTGCAGTTTGAAACTAGTCACTATCACTACACAGTATAAAACAAAGTTGCTTCCCGTCTGTCTGTCCCTATGTATGCTTAGATCTTGAAAACTACGCAACGGATTTTGATGCGTTTTTTTTTATTAGATAGAGCGATTCAAGAGAAAGCTTTATGTGTATAATACATGAATAATATAGTAGAGAAACATTTACAATTTTAGATGTTTCTAATGTGATATGATCTTTACCCGTACGAAGCCAGGGCGGGTCGCTTGTAAATAATAATTTGACATAGTAAACTTTATGTACAATTTTGTTTATTATTTTGTCTTGTAATTCTCAATTGTTGTTACTTTAAAAGGAAATGTCACGCCAAGATTGTTTACTAACTTTTTTTTAGTTTACTAACAAGGGAGCAAGAAATAGAAAGCCCGCTATGCCTTGCCTATTTAAAAAAGCAATTAAAACTTCATAAAACACGCCTGAAACATTGACCCCGGCTGGAGGCTGTTGAAACTTTTATGGAGCTCTTACGCGTGTAAATTATTATTAGAATCTGGTGCCTTTTGAATTTCTAATACTGTTAATTACTCTGTGTATTCTGGTTATTGGGGTGATTTTTAATACAATAATTTTTTTAATGGGTAATAATGCCGCCTGCGCTATCGGTATCCGCTAGCGGAGCACCAGCGAGGGATGATAGAGGTGACGATGAAAGCAGGTCTTTTTTTATTCTTTTTTATTAATGCATGATAATGGAATAGTAACCCCGCCTGCGCTATCGGTATACGCTGAGGAAACACCAGTGAGGGATGATAGGTGAGGATGAAAAGGCAGGTCAGGTAGCCCGTGATGAATATATCTGGAATTCAGCATGATGATGATGAAGGGAGAACCGCGTGGAGGTCGATCTGACAGGGTATATTGCTAGCAATGGGACTGGTAGCCCGCATTACTAACAATCCCTTCCCCCGCACGTTATTATTGTCCAAAGTGTTTATTCACTAATATTGTAAATGTTGAAGCGAATTTATTTGTTTGTTACCTCTTTGTACCTTAACAACTTAATTATAATAATTACAATTGCTCAAGACACCAAATTTCATAATTATTATACAGAATGGAGGATATAGAGTATTTTTCATCCCACTCAGTGAATATCATGTGGTCATGTGGTTGAAGTCGCGGGTAAAAGTTAGTTTGTTTATATTTAGATGTTAATTAGAACTAGTCAATTTCAACTTGTTAATTTAGTTAAATACTCATTTGGGTTTAAATAATTAAAAAGTAATTCGTATGATAGACAGACTTTAGACAGATGATGTGAAATAAATATACATCAGCAAGTCTACTCTTGAATTTAATATCAATACCAATCCAATCTATTGCCAATGACAATTTTGTACTGCACTCGTGTAACAACGGTTAGGAATTAGGTTAGAATTAGGATTGGTTTGTAATAGTTCACATTGGGGGGAGAAGGCATTGTTAGTAATGGAGACTTAGAATTCCATTGCTAACAATATACCCAACCAGGTCGACCTCCTCGCGGGTCCCCGTGGAAACTATCATGATTAATTCCAGATGAATTCATCATGATGGGCTAACTAGCCTGTTTTCATCCTCATCGATCACCCTTCACTGGTACCCCGCCAGCGTAACGCGTTAGAGCAGGCGGGGTTACCATTGCATTTTCATCCAATAAAAGAAAAAATAGTTCACATTGGCAAGTTACACTAATATGCATCTATCAGAACAGAAAGGAACCATTATGTGTGTTGCAATTCGAGAGTGCAAATTCTTAATTTCAATATCGGTCTATTGGAATATATTTAAAGAGTCATCCCATAGTTCCGCTAAAATATTAAACAATTTTTAATTAATAATCATACATGTCGGTTTTTCGAGTTATGTGACCAATTCATTGTCACTTCAGCTTCCTTATCTTTCGACAACCGACCGAAGGTTCTAGAGTGGCAACCACGTACGGGTAACGGGTAACGGGCAAACGCAGTTTAGGACGACCCCCTACTAGATGGAGTGACGACCTGAAATGCGTTGCAGGTGGCTCAGGAAAGTTCTTTATGGCAGTCTATGGGGAAGGCTTATGCCCAGCAGTGGATGGATAATGGCTGAAATGATGATGATGATGATGGTGATAAATCATACACGGCTTGTGCATTTATTAGTAGCAGAATTTCTTGAAAAACACAGTGTTTTTACAATTAACATTAGTGTAAGGCGCGTTGTACACTGCGCTATAATGTATGAGTATATTACAGCTCCCTGGCTTGTTAATTGTGTCTCTAGTTACGGATAACTGTCGCACGCTAACTAGACGTAGCGACTTGATACCGTCGTAAGTTCAAGTCTTTTCCGTAACTATATATCAGACTCATTGAGGGGAAATGTATGGCGAGCGAGTAGGAATACAATGTCATAGCTCCTTTCTGTTTATTGTTGAAAGGTTACACGATTAAAGGAACAAATTGATGTAGTAATACAATAAAAGAAAATCTGGTGTGTTTGCTTTACGACTTTAATTTTCAATAATATTTTTCTTTTTGAGTATTTCCCCCTTTTTTTATGCAACTTAGAAATACAAATATGGTGACGGCTCACCTGATGGGAAGTGGTAAGCGTCGCCTATAGACATGAGCAGTACCATGGACATAACAGAGTATACTGTTTTGTGTCATCGGTGCAAACTTTATTGGCTGATGTATTATTTAATCGTGGAATTGTCTTATGTTTTTTAAAGTTGTATGTTTTTCTCGAATAAATCAATAAAAAGGCTTGTATTCAAGTAATATAAAAAAGGTAATTAGAGATAAATACCCTGGTAGTAAAGTTTGTTTAAAAAAAATATCAAAATTAGTAATTTGGTTTTAAAAATCAAACTACTGAACTGATTTTGATAAATAGAAAACCGGGTTGTATTTCTTTTTTTTTTTTTTTAATTATCGTTCTAAGAACAGCCTACTTGTTTTAAATCTGTTGAAAATCGAATCTAAGTATGGATAGAGTACAATTTTATACACAGGATGAAAATGAATTTATTAAATATTTGAATTAAGTGTTTTACTAGTGAAACCGAACATTTTCACTAATTAAACATGGATCGAAAGGCGATTAAAAAATTGAGGCTTTCATACTAATGCGGCACGTTTAGTTATTATGGAAGACTTAAAATTTAAAGTTGTTTTTGGATTTTCGATTTACGAAATCTCAGTTCTATTTTATAGCGTGGTTACATTCTCAGTTTTACGGATAGTTAAAGATTTCAATTTTACACCGTGTACTATGTAGATGTGTATGGGGTAAAAAATCTATCTCTCTATTATCTTATTAGTTTAGACTAACTCAGGAAGACTATTATTAAATGATCTAACAGCTTTATTGTTAGCAATATATCCTACCAATTCGACCTCCACGCGGTTCCTCCTAGAATTCATTGTGATTATTTTTTGTGGAATTCGTCATGATAGGGTAACTGACCTGCTTTGATCGTTACCTATCAACATT